TTTTTTTTATAATTATAAGTCAACTATATTTAGATTATGCCAGATTGAAAATTAGATATGATTTTGCTTATGAATGTTAATTACAATCAACGAAGAATAAAAAATTGTCCTACGCTAGATTATTGTACCTTGCATTTCATTCTTGACCAAAACAAAGCAAGTAGAATATCAATAACAAATAATTAACAATCGTACCTTGCAATTTTTAGCATATAGGGGATATATATCAACCAACATGTGAGTAGAGAAGTGGAAGTCAGATGTCCCACAAAATGTAAAAGATAGAAAAATATCCAAATTATCATACATCCATCAACGTGAAAGGCAAAATTAAATCATTGATAATACAATCCATATATAACTCTTTGTACAATAGATTATTATTGTATTCCTATAAATAAAAATAAAAGTTGGACTCGGAGATTTCTTCAAATACTAGTAAATATGAGACTCCAAGGTTAAAACATAAAACATTAAGGGTGAAAAAGATATTACAAAAACTATTAGGGGGGTGGCAGGGCAATATGTTGAATTAGTAGATGAAGAAAACGTGATACTTAAAATCAGAATTTCCCACCAAAAGTTGCAGTGAGCTTCAATTTAGATGAGCACTCCAACTGATCAGAAAGAAGTTATGGAGAAAGGAGAAGCCTCCACTGATCAGAAAGAAGTTGTTATGGAGAAAGGAGAAGCCTCCACTGATCAGAAATACAACGATTGGATTGCAAAAGTCGATGACATGGTGGAATGGCTCTACGATTATTGCGACACGCATTTCCGGCCAACTTTAGAAGAGAAAATCGCTGATATGGAGTACCAAATCGGTATGTGTATCCACGCCCTCGATTCAATTCCTCAAGGTAAATTTCTTTTATGGATTATCCAGAAAAAAAAAAAGCATTCGATTCAATTTCTCAAGTAATCATGAGAATGAGTTTAATTGGTACGAATTCGTGTAGAAAAGAGGCAATCGGAATTTGAAAGTGCAGTGTTTGAGCTTACAAAAGGAAGATTGTATAATTCAATTCCTGGTTGTTACAAGGAGGAGGCAGAGCATCATCTAGTGAATGCTGTGAGTGGAAGCAGAATTACATGGTTTGAACTTGCGTTTGGTTTCCTTCTTACGGTTAATTTTATCTTCCAGACTAATTTGGCACCGTATCTGCTGGATGCTTGGGTTTCCCTCGGCATCTGCTTTGCCAAGAAAAGAGATTACCCTAGAGCTAAACACTACTATCAGTTTGTCCTTACAGTGGTAATTTCGATGCTTCTTCAGTTCTTAAATTTTCCGTTCTCTAAACTTTAAACATTACCTTTATTTGATAGATTCTGCATTTTTTTTATCTGATTTAGAAAGAAGACAGCATGGTTTTATGGCAACTTGCAGACCTTGAACTGCTGTATGCACGGGGTGAATTTAGTCCATATGGTGCGATGCTTTTGACTTCTTCTTTTTTTTTCGTAATTTACTTTTCTCCAAGGAGAATCTCAAGTATATTCATTTTTTTTTCTTAGTGGTTGTTGTTGATCTGTTCATCTGATTGCATATCCATTTCACAGTTGCTGATAATCCACCACATCATATTGACGAATGCATCAAATATGCCCAAAGGGCACTCGCTCTGGATGACACGGATGGATCTTGTTTATGTAAGATGCATCAAATATGCCCAAAGGGCACTCGCTCTGGATGCACGGATGGATCTTGTTTGTGTAATACTGAGAACTGAATCTAGTTAGTCACTCTCAGCTTTGCCAATTTTCCAAATGTCTTACTTAGTGTTCATCAATGATTGAGTTCACCCGTCCCTTATTGTATAGCTATAGTTAGAAGTAGCATATGATTACGTTAAAGACAGATTAGGTGCAGAAATTACATATTTTGGTACATGGAACCATGACATAGCATATACGCAGTAAGTAGAATTTTATTAAGTGTATGCTATACTTATGAAAATGTTCTAGTATATCTGCAGTAACAAACATTATGATAAATCCAATTTTCAAGTACTTCACTGAGCTTTTTTATCTGGTTGTAGATATCTTAGGAAGTGCATATTTCTCTTCCTTTATTCTGGATGGAGGATGGAATCACGATAATACTCTACGGTCATTAGAAGCTTATGAAAAAGCAGTAAGTAATTCTTACAATCTTGTCTCTGTATATTTATTTCCCTTTATTTTAACATGAAATTAGATATACAGTATTAGCTCCCTGTGAGTCTGGCAGGCCTTGTTTTTTAATATACTCGGAAGTTTCTTCTGATACTCTACCCCATTTCAGGAGAAAACTCATGAAATGAAGTCAAACCCTGAGCTTCAATACGATTGTGGCATTGTAAGTTATGAAGAAAAACACAGCTTTTTACTGATAAACTGTTCTATCATATAGGATTTTTCTAAACACAAGGTTCTCAATTGTTGCTAACTATAGCCTCATATTTTTATGATTTGTTATTAAAGAATCAGAGTTAGGAAAGCTAAGACAAGAGACCTTGCATCAAGTTGTACATTATGCAGCAAGGAAGGGATATGTTTGCAACTCTATGTTTTTTCTAATTTTATTATTCACTTTTACACCGACTTCTTGTGTGAATCACAGATAGACCTTCATTCATCATCTTAAAGGTTACAGAGAATGGCTCAAAATAAGTGTGGCTGTATCAGAATTTGAGAATCGTTAGGATTTATGTTGATACATAAAGATCCAAAGGAATGAAACCACTCAAGAAGAAGACACTGGAAACTTAAGAGATAAGACAAAAGTCGGTAAAATAAAGGAAAAACACATAATTTGAAATAGAAGAATTCTTTGTAAAATAGGAGATACTTTCACAGGATGTACTAAAGGAAGCATAGGTAACTTCACAGAGAAAAAGAAAGTCGTACGTGAAAACAGAATCTTATAATTACTCATTGAATTAATTACCTTTTTCTAGTAGTTAAGAATCATGTCTCCTGGAGAGAAAAGATCCCTTTAATAAAGATCAGTAAAATGACTATTACAAGATATGCAGATATCAGTGACATGTTGATTGTGTTTGGTACGAAATAATCTATCTAGAAGAACACATGTGTAAATAGGGAAGTACAACTTTGAATTAGAAAGACAGTACAACTTTGAATTAGAAAGACGTCTGATTAAAAAGAACTGGTTCAGCAGTATCTGCCAGACTATGTGAAAGCTTTTTTTCTGTGCTTATTCTTGTCCAACTTTTTCAAGCTCGAAAGTTCATATGCCTAGTGAAGAAAGAACCAAAAATCTCTAAAATAAGGTCACCTTTATTCATTTCACATTTTATGTTTGCATATATCATGATATCTTAAATATAGTCTTCACTTTCCGCTTTTTTAAAATTTCAATGCCATGCTGAAAATATGTGATATTTGTATATTCAGGTGAATAGATTTCTGGAGAACTACAACAAGTCCCTCATTTGTTTATCAGATGCTGCAATAACGGATCCTTCTCTTGATGTTTTACATCAACTGAAAATGACGGTCCAGCTTCTTGACAAATTAGAAGGATTAGTTCAGGTAAGATTATTTGATTGTGGTTATTTTATATAAAGGATCTGTAAGTGATATTCTGATCAGTTGCATTAGGAACGGCATGGTTGACGACATTAGAAATTTAGAATCATAAGGGAATTCTGTGTGATCAAAGGTGCATTGTTTCCAGTTATATTCAAAGTGCAGGCCAGTGATAACTATTTACAAGAGGTATTCAAGGAGTCACCCTCCTTGCTATTGCACATCTAACTTGTCAAACTCCCAACATGACATAGTGCAGTGCTTTGATGTGATCACATTTACCTGTTTAAACACTGATTTCATCATCAGAGTTACCAGGGAATGCTTTCTGTTTCCTGATTTAACATAATGTATGATGAGGTAGTCCTTTAAGATGGTTTCTGAGATAACCAGTCAATATGTACAAAATTTTACACTGACAACCTTTGGGCAACAAGTACTAATAATAGCTAGGGGGACAGACGTAATATAAAATTTGATTTTATGGTATGACAGGAAAACACCAAAAAATAGTCATGCTTTTCAATGATTTCTAAAATTGACTTAATGTGTAGGTTTGAGGCACAGTTGATTGAATGATTTTGGGAATATTTCTAAACAAATAGAGGCTAGGAAACTGCAATAGGAAGCTATAATTATGTGGAATTAAGAGTTATTTGGATAGGAATATTCAAGTTGGGTGTCTAAGTTAGTAACTCAATTTGTATCTTTCTGCTAAATAGATCAAGTGATCAACTTGGTAACTCTACTGTGGCTGCCCCAGAAAGCTTGGTTCAGTTTCTCCTACTTTTGAAGAATTTTCTTCTGAGTCCTTTTCACTTACTACTACATAAAAATAAGTTTAACAAAGAGAAAAGGAAAACATATCACCACATACAAATAGTTGCAGAAGGTCTCAATGCACAATAAAGGTATCGATTTGGAGAAAAGTTTAACCATCTAGCTTAAGACATATCTAGAAGAAAAGTAGATGAGGTAATTACCATTTCATGTGCCCTTAAATTGTCCAACGAGTTGAGTGAGCAGCAGCATAGCCCTGTATTGACTGAATAGTGCGTGGGGTAACATTTTAGTCGTTTCTTCTGCTTTCATTTCTTGATTTTTTTTCAAGAAACAGGAAAGTTATGATACAGTCTTCTAAAAAATAATGCCTTAGATTCTCAGTTTTTAAATGTCTTCTTCTTTTGAGCCGTTAAGACATCATGAATGAGATTGTGAAGGATGCATTTGAATAATGTGATCCTGCTTTTCAGGGTAAGAGTAATGACAAGAGTAAGGGGAAGATTAAGGGAAAGAGTAAAGGAAAGAGTAAGGGGAAGAGTAAGGGAAAGAGTACGGAAACGAGCTTATCTTCCCTGATCCAGTCACTTGATACTATTGATTGTAAGGCTTTACATTATTCTTGATTTAACTGTAAACATTGATTTATCTATTTAGTTGAGTTAATGTACTTTCTTGCAGTGAATCCTTCATACAACAGAGCAACCTTGGATGTCTTAGCTGAAGGCCCTAACAAAGGGCTTGCAGTTATAGGAGCAGTCCGGTGCTTGGTTAAGTATGAGTATAGCACTCCATTGTAAGTAACTTCATCTTGGAGGAACCCACATGAGTTGATCATTTTCAGCATTTCTTTTAAAAGTGGAAATTGGGAAGTGACAAGGCTGAGCAGCCCTACTTAATACTTAAATACTTATTTCTCAGTGTGCCTTATTCTACAGATACTATGTGCTCTGTGACTCCAATGAGAATAGTTTTGTACTTACAGTGTTTGGCATACAGAAGGAAGCGGTAAGCACTATTTTATGTTGTTTTAATGTTTCTTGGAAATCAACAGATAAATTTATCTATCAGTTTGCTGATATACTGTTGCAGCAGCAACATGCCTAAAAAATAAGAGAAGGATTTTCCTCCCTTTTGCCACTTCCTAGATGAAATATTAGATTAAAGGGAACCTCACTTTTTTTTAATATGTAACTAACACTAAAGATAAAAAGAGAGAATACTAAAGTGAGTTAAAATTTCAAAATATTTCTGTAAATTTGGAATAGTATGTTCCTATACTATACTATCGAACACCATTTTTATCTTAACTCTCTTATTTGTCCATCCTTCAAGAATAAAATATCACATTTGCCACTTAAATAAATCATAAGTGAGCGTGAATATCATCTCCTTATATATGTATCTAATGGTGATCATCTCATTCATAATCTGATTTTGGTTTGTGCCAGGCCCACCCAATTATTATCTAGTCTAGTGAATAAGTGTCATATCTTTGAATATTTATCCTACTTGAGAATATTGTTGTGGTGACATATAGCCTACCATATTCCTATACTAAAATGGAATAAGAAGATGAAAATAGCCTAAATAAATCTTTTCTAGGGAAGGCATGGTCTAAGAAAAGTTGATTCTGGCAGGACAAAAAGAAAAATGACACAAGAACTATGAGTCATGACAATACTGGTTAACATCAACTCATCATAGAGTGATTTGCTGATATTTAGTTGCTGTAAGTATTGCCTATCCAGCTCCCATTAGATTTTCACATCATTACTTAACGAACTACTCTTGTTGACAGATTAAACAAGGAGATCAGGTCACACTATTGGAGCCCTTTTGCAAATTTGTTGATTTTGAATGGGAGGGAAAGGTAACCTCGTTATCATATGTGGTATTGCATGCATTTTCAATGCTATTCCAAATATGTCTTATTGCTTTCTCTATCAGTTTTCTTTCTGTGAAAATCACATATTAGATGTGTTATATCCCGTCAATTTGTCTGTCAACTCCACCTTATAACACCTCAGGGCAGGGTGCACTTGAGCCACTAGCAATGATAATTTGATTTCTTGATTGCAACTGTTTGGAAGCAGAGGGAAAATAGAGTCATTTCTTGCATTTTCTGAATTAAGTAACATTAACAAGTTTCCAAATGACTATTTTTGGCATGTAAGGAATTGGTTACATATGGTTTAGTGGTAGAAGAATAATAATCACATTAACTGTTTGATTTACAATATTCTGTCAGCCCAGTTTTGCCACTCCTCACTAATAATTGTTATTTTTACTGCAGCACTATCAATTCACATCTGTGCGAGTTAATCTTGTGGAACAGGTCCTTGTAAATGGAAATGCTCTATCTCCTAGTTTTGCTATACGTCAACCATTACGATTATACGCATAACCTTCTGTCAATGTCTGTAAGATACCAACATTAATAAGTGGGATTCTTCATATACTTAACTAGGCAAAATACTCAAATGCTTGTTTACTACATGTGGCAACTTGATATGAGATTAACTCTACTGCCTTATATTCATCTTCATTTGCAAAATTTAGCTTTTCTGCAATAGTTGTGAGAGTAACTCGTACATTACTTCTTCCATGAAATAACATCTCTCTCAAGAAAAGGAGCTACCTATGTGATGTTTCATTGACCGTCCAGCAACACGTCACTTATTTTTATAAAAACTAGTTCTGAAAACGTGGATTGCACATTTATTTTACAATACTTAATATAAATTTTATATTAAAAATGACAATTTTAAATGATATATATTATTGAACTTTCTTTGTGCTATAAATAAAAAGCAATTATACAAAAAAGAAAAAACAAAAAAAACTTGTAAGTTGCACAATATATAGGTAGCAAAAAAATACATGATTGTGCACCTTTTATAGTACATAATATTAATTTTTCTAATACATAATATTAATTTATAATTGTGCACCTTTTATAATACATAATATTAATTTTTCTTTTGGAGTAATCATATACAATGCTTAATAGTATCTAATTACTCTTAAACTCAACAACTTATACTATAAAAAATGTATGCGACCAAGTACCAAGAAATAAATTTTAATTAATACATAGGAGTATTATTTAATCATATAACAAAAAAGCTCTTGCCAAAAGAATTACCCTCAATTGCAATAGAAAACCTCCCAAGATTCTAAGTCAATCTCAATTGCCTCCTTAGGCAAAGCCTTGAACGAAGTTTAACAACATATCACCGATTTTTATTATTTTTCAACTGTATTATGTCATGTAGGACTCATGTATCTACTTATTAAATTTTATACAAGTTAAAGTCTCTACTTATGCACACCCAAAGTTTGAGAGCGTAAATGTAAAACGAGATCAAGTTAAATGACACATTTATATATTATGCCTTTATTTTTCTATGTATCACCCCATATATAAAATTGTGTTAATGCGATCAATTGTCTTGCATACTGTAACAGACAAAATGAATAGTGAACACTGCTTAAGTTGGTAACACATTGCCCACATATTTAATTAGAATTTTAAAATATTTTGGTTTATAGATATTTGTATAGTTATAAATCATTTGACTAACAGGTATTTTGAAGTTAAATTATTACTAATATAGAAATGCATTGTTTTTTTTTAAACGGATTAAAAAGGAAAGTGAGTCATTAGTAGATATGAATTATAAGCTTAATACAATAGGGGTGAAAAAGAAGTAACAAAAACTATTCGGGGGTGGCAGGGTAATTTTCTTAAATATAGTAGATGAACAAAAACGTGATACTAACAGAATTTCCCTCCCAAACTTCAGACTTGCAGTTTGCATCAAGAAATTTCTATGGCGAAAGGAGAATCTTCCACTAATCAGAAAGCTGATTGGATTGAAAATGTTGAAGCAAAGGTGCAATGGCTATATGATTATTGGCAGACGCACTTCCCGGGAACCAAGGAAGACAAAATGCTTGATATGGAACTTGCAATCAGTACCTGTATCGTCGACATATATGCAATAATTCCTGAAGGTAAATTTCTTTTATGAATTATCCAGAAAAAAAAATGCATTCAATTCAATTTCTAAACTACTCATGACAATGAGTTTAACCGGTACAAATTTGTGTAGAAAACCTGCAATCGAATTATGAGCGTGCACTGTTCGAGTATCTAAGAGGAAGCGCGCATAATGCTATTCCTGGGGTTTATAGCAAGAAAGCGGAGGATCATCTAAAGAATGCTGTGAGTGAAAGCACAATTACATTGTTTGAATTTAGGTTTGGTTTCTTTCTGACGGTTAATTTTATGTAGACTAAATTGAATCCTGATTTGCTGGTTGCTTGGAATGCCCTCGGTGACTGCGTTTCTATGAAAGGAGATTACCTTACAGCTAGAACTTGCTTTCTCTCTGCCCTTAAGAAGGTTATTTCGCTGCTGTTCTAGATTTTCGGTTCTCTAAATTTGAACGTTACCTGATAGGTACTTCTTTTTATTTGATTTAGGAAGAGGACGCCAGGACTTTACGTCATCTTACATACCTTGAATTGATGTGTGCACGGGGTGAAGTGAAGCAATATGGTGCAATTTTCGTCTTTTTTCTCGTTAATTTACAATTCTCCAGGGAGAATCTCAAGTATATTCACTTTATTTGTTTGTGGCTGTTGTTGATCTGCTTATCTGATTGCATATACCTTTCACAGTTCCGGAAGATCTTGAACATGATATACCTTTCACAGTTCCGGAAGATCCTCAACATCATATTGAAGATTGTATCAAATATGCAAAAAGGGCAATCAAACTGAAAGACCCCGAAGGACGTCGTTGTTACTGTAAGACTGAGAACTGTATCTAGTTAAAATAGGAACTGCTTTAATCGCTCTCAGCTTTGCCAAATGTTTTGCTTGATGTTTGTCTATTTCCTCAGTCTTATTATAGTTACATGGTTGATAGATGAATTAGGAAGTGCATATCTTACTTCCTTTATCCTGGATGGAAGATGGAATGACGATGATATTCTAATGTCATTAGAAGCATTCGAAAAAGCTGTAAGTAGTTCTGACAATCTTGTCTCTGTACATAGTTTTCCTTTATTTTAACATTAAACTTAGATGTACAGTATTAGCTCCCTGTAAGCCTGGCAGGTTTGTTCTTTTATATATTTGGGAGTTTCTTCTGAATTTCTACCCCATTTCAGGAAAGAATTGATACAATAACATCAGAGCCAGATTTTCAATGCGAGTGTGGCCTCGTAAGTTTTTGAAGAAAAATATTGTGTTTTACTGATGAACTATTCTATCATATGGGATTTTCAATGCGATTGTGGCTTCGATTCTTGCTAATTATAGCCTCATATTTTCATGATTGTGCTATTGAAGAATTGGAGAAAAAAAAGACAAGAAACCATGTATCAAGTTTTCAACTCTATATTTTTTCTAATTTGAGAATCATTAGGATCTTTGTTGACATGTAAAGATCCAAAGGAATGAAACCACTCAAGAAGAAGACACTGGTAACTTTACAGATAAGACAAAAGTCGGTAAACTAAATGAAAAAGACATGATTTGAAATAGAAGAATTCTTTGTAAAATAGGAGATACTTACACAGGATGTACTTAAAGGAAGCACAGGAAATTTTACAGGTAATTTCTCATTGAATTAATTACCTTTTTCTAGGAGTTAAGTATCACGTCTATGTCTCCCGGAGAGAAAAAATCAGTAAATGACTATTACAAGATCTGCAGAGATCAGTGACATGTTGAATTGAGTTAAGGACGAAATAATCTATCTAGAAGAACAAGTGTTTAAATAGGGAAGTAAAAATTCAAATTAGAAAGACAGACTTATTAAAAAGAACTGGCTTCAGCAGTATCTGCCTGCCTATGTGAAAACTTTTTTCTGTGCTTATTCTTGTCCAACTTTTTTAAAGCTCGAAAGTTCATATGCTTAGTGAAGAAAGAACCAAGAGTCACTAAAATAAGCTCACTTATATTCATCTTCACATTTTATGTTTGCATATATCATGATATCTTAAATATAGTCTTCACTTTCCGCCTTTCTTAAATTCAATGCCATGTTGAGTAAATCCAAACAATTGTACATTCAGGCGAACAGGCTTCTGGAGAACTACGAGAAGTCCCTCATTAGGTTATCAGATGCTGTAGAGAAGGATCCTGCCCATGATGCGTCACATCAAGTGGAAATAACAGTTCAGCTTCTTGACAAACTAGAAGAATTAGTTCAGGTAAGATTATTTGATTGTGGTTATTTCATATG